GCGATGGTGACCTACAGATGGGGTTTTGATGTGGATGTCTTTTTTGTTGATGTTGCTGCTATTCCTTTCTCTTTGTTAGTTTTCTTTTAACAGCGAGGTCCCTCAGCTGCAGGTCTGTTGGCGTTTGTTGGAGGTCCACTCCAGACCTTGTTTGCTGGGTATCAACAGTGGAGGCTGCAGAAGAGCAAACATTGCTGCCTGATCCTTCCTCCGAAAGCTTCATCCCAGAGAGGCACCTGCCTGTATGAGGTATCAGTTGGCCCCTACTGGGAGGCTTCTCCCATTTAAGCTACACAGGGATCAGGGACTAACCTGAGGACACAGTTTGTCCATTCTCAGAGCTCAAACCCATGCTATGAGAACCACTGCTCTCTTCAGAGCTGTCAGACAGTTACATTTAAGTCTGCAGAAGTTTTCTGCTGCCTTTTGTTCAGCTATACCCTGCCTCCAGAGGTGCAGTCTACAGAGGCAGCAGGCCCTGTTGAGCTGTGGTGGGCTCCATCCAGTTCAAGCTTCCTGGCTGCTTTGTTTACCTACTCAAGCCTCAGTAATGGCGGATGCCCCTCCGCCTACCAGGCTGCCACCTTGCAGTTCAATCTTGGACTGCTGCACTAGCAGTGAGCAAGGCTCTGTGGGCATGGAACCCACCCAGCCAGGTGCAGGATATAATCTCCTGGTGTGCCTTTTGCTAAGACCATTGGAAAAGTGCAGTATTTGGGTGACAGTGTCCCAATTTTCCAGCTACCATCTGTCATGGCTTCCCTTGGCTAGGAAAGGGAAATCCCCTGACCCCTTGTGCTTCCCGGGTGAGCTAATGCCCTGCCCTGCTTCAGCTCGCCCTCCGTGGGCTGCACTCACTGTCCAACCAGTCCCAATGAGACGAATCTGTACAGCTACAGACCATCTGTAGCTCCTGTTTGGCCATCTTGGAATGGACTGGGTTGGCAATTTCAATACAGTTTTGGGTGTGGGCAGAAAGGAAGTTAAGAAAGGAGGTATAATTTTAACCCACCCCAAGGCCCATCTGTGGGAAAACTGACTTTGTGTGCATTTATCTCAATCCTAAAAGGCATGTATTATTACCACCATTATATGGTGAAGATCAAGGAGGCTCAAAGAGTAAAGATGATATGGCAAAGTCTGTACAGTAAGAGATTTAGACAGGACTTGCAACCCTTGGCTCTATCTCCCCAGTATGACTCCTTTCCTCCATTCAAGCACCACCAAGAAACTGAAAGGTAAGGTGCAAGGGTTCTAAAAGAGACACAAAAATGGGGAGATGAAAGAATGTGTTGGGAAAATGTGCATGTTTCATTAACTTGCCTAGCATCAATCTCTGAACACTGGGATAGGTGATAGACTGTAAGGTTATCTTTCTCAATGGAGCTATATGAAAGTTATCTGTCTAAATCAGTTTACAACATTCCTAAGTAGAGGTGGGAAAAATATCTCAATAATTTATGAAAGCTATTTCTCAACCTATGAGTCAATGCAAACTTATTGTGCAGCTTCCCTAATTTATATTTCTAATCAGAAAACTGCCAAATCTTAAAATTCTTTTATGTAAGCATTTTTTAACAAAGAAAGTAATGCCTGTGGGAAAATCATTCTGCTTGGCTATGACCATTTTGCTTGGCATTCATATGACCTATGAATTTCAGTGGTCACATTTTTATATATTTTCAAACTAAGTTAGTTCAGAGTTTATACTAAGATTGATATATATTTTTAAGTAGTGTCATAAATTATATTTCCACATATTGTTTTCTGGGAATATATTTTTACTGGACATAGCTCTTTTGGTCTATTATACCCTTTTAGTTGTCAATTATATTTTCCAAAATAGCAAGAAGAAAGATAGAGGGTTTTTTTTGAAATTATTGTTTTAAGAAAATAATTGGTAAGACTTACTAGATAGAACCCTCATTATGTGTATATAATAACTGAAGAAATCAATATTCATAATAAGAAAAAAGATTATTAAATTATGAAGTTCAGTCTTGCTTATATTTCTACTGCCAAGTAAAATTATTTGTTTGTAAATATTCAGACACAGTAAACATACTTTGGTATCTGGGAACTTAATATGCTTCACTTCATTATTTTGATTTAAATATGTTTTTTACCTTGATAGCAGAGGACTCATTAATATTTTCAAATACAAACCAAGTATAAAGGAACAAAGCACTTTTCTTCATACAGAAGTATAAACTGTTATTACTTTCTTTTTTTATTTTAAAAGCTATCAACTGGTATTCAAACAATAACATATGTAACAAGAGACTTACTATTGAAAATGACTGTGAAACAGAAAAAAGAAACCATTTTAAAAATTGTGGCTAAGATACAGGAAGAAAAATAATCACTGTGAAATGGTATATAGAAAAAATCAGGTCCACCTGACCACCAGAGAGATGTCATCATACACTTGAAACTGGCTTCAGGGCTTCCTCAAACTCACATTTAGTCTGTTTCCATGTGGTTCTCCAAATAAATGGAAAATACAGTGAAAGAGGAAAAACACTTTTAAAAAATAGAAAAAGCATCAGATAAAATAGAGAAATTATTCATCCAGATTCCAAATTATTCAGCAAGTTCGGAAAACTCAGCTTCCCAAAGATATGATATTATCAAAAGGAATGTAGTGAAATCTAACATTGAAATTGTGAATTACCTTGAGCTAATAGTTTACAGTGTCTGACAAACATTATTGTGTTTCCCTCAGTCTTTTGAAATTCTCTGAAATGCTCCTACAAAATTCACTGTGATGCCATAGTTTAGGAACCACAGGTCTAGGTTAATAAGTAGTGCATAGTGTTCTGGGACAAGATAAAAAATAATAATAATGATTACAGTTCAATAAGGAAAGTCCTGTGTTGCAAGAAGACAGTAATAACAGTAATGGGAAAGTTGGATCAGATTTTATATAATATTAGATTAGATAGCATATTAAGGCCTTCTGCTTTTTCTGTAGTTCATCATCGCAAGAGGTTTATAGGCAAAGGGAATAGATGAAAAATCAATTAGAGGTAAGAAAGGAATCAATTCCTAAAATGAGGGCAAACGTATGGACAATCATTTGGTAATCCAACAATATCTAAGCACCCTCTGCCTGGCCAGCAGACATGTAACACCACACAAAGCAAGAAAAAAGACAAGCGTCCAACTGAAAATGCCCTCCACCTCTTACCATCTCCTACATCGTCTCTTGGACACAATGATTCTGTTGTGCCATTGACATTCAAACGGTGCCCAGCATGTAGTAGATGTCTAATAAATGATTATATATTCATTAGAAAAGACAGAACACATGGGAATATTTAAGAAGCCACATATGTAGATTTCAACAACTATTTATTTATTCCATAGAAAGGAAGCATATAGTAAAGTGCTTCACATATCCAATTGAGAAGATCAAAAGCTTTGCAGTCAAAGGAATTAACATAAATTCATTCAATGTAAATTTCACACAAATATCTTGAAGGGAAGTTGAGAATGTGAATTCTATGAGTTTTTTTTCTGTTCTGTAAGCACAATAAAATTTTTAATAGACACAAATCTAATCTACGATGACAAAGGAGGGACCAACTTTCTGGGCCAAGTCACAGCATAGTCAATGGTAGAACAAATGTACATCTGAATGAAAAGAATGCTGTTTTCCTCTTCAATCCTGGAACAAATTACAACTATGTGCAGAAGTAGGCAGACCTGACAGCAGTTTGTCCAGTTGTGCTTCCCCACCCACTCATTCTTACCACATAATTTAGTGGTGGTTCAACTGGGGAATTATAAAACACAACTTTCCATTAGAATAATAATAATCAATTTTCATGATCTTGCCCTCAAAGTAAAACTGAGTACATAGATTTTAATGTTGCAGATACGGAACCCCCTGGGTATGGCTAGATCCAACTTGTTTCAGGCCAATACTGTTGTGTATCTTCTTTTAAGTGAGTTTTTGTTTTTGCTTTTTCCCCCCACTTGACTACCTTTAGAAACGCTGCTTTTAATCAACCAGGAAATCATCCCAAATACAGCCTTGTTAGGTACATCATGTACGTACAACTGCGTAATGGTAACATTATTGTAACTAAGATACGAAGTTTTTCATCCATTAAGTTACTTCCAAGGGACTGGTTTTCTCCAAGTTTTGCTGTCCTTCTTAGCTAAGATTTCCTCTGGAATTACCATTCTGTTCATTTTGTATAATGCAGATTAATTCAATATCACCAGCCCCTACTTCCAAACTCATCTCCAAGCTCATGTTTGGCAATAACAAAATCCATCAGGGAACTCAACTGAACCAACTGTGACATTTATATAATCAGCCACACAAAAGGTTGGCAAAATCCCTTCTAAAAACAATTTGTATTTTAATATTAATTTCCTTTTCCAGCATTTCACAATGTCAGTACAGTAACATTTTCTAAAGTCCTGTTTGGATCAAATGTTAATGTTCTTTGTTAAAGAATCAATTATTCAATGACACTTGCTAAAGAACTGCAAGGCTGACTTTGTTTGAGGAGACTATTGCAATACAAGTAGGGACCTCTGCAGTGAAAGAAAGAGAATGAGCTCATCTTCTCATACAATAAGGAGAAGTGGGAATGTAAAGACAAGGACCAGGGTGGGCATCATTGGATGAAAAGTCACTAAGAGGAAACAATAGGGTAAGGGGTACACAGGGTAAACCAAATTAACAGGCTTCTTACTGAAGACAGGCCAGGGTGATCAGACATCACCTGGGGGATGGTGGAGGAGAACTCTATCAGGTATCTAGGGTGATCAAGTATCATGGACAGGTAATACCGGCTAAACTAAGTTAGCAGGATTCTTGCTAAAATTGGACAAAGGATGCAAAGATGAACACAGAAGCCCAAAACTCAAGGCTTGAGAAGAGAGTTTGAAAGAGTCTACTTAGAGTTTCATCAAGGAAAGGATCTTCGTCAGTCCCTGCACTTGTTCAAGGAAAAACAAAGAATATAAGTCTGTTTTCTCACCTTTGACCAAACTGTTCATTAACAGCCAGCTGAGTCACCTGTTGGGACCTAATAGCAGAAGATATTTGCTGTATGGTGCAAGCATTCAGGCATTTAATGAGGAAAATTTCTGTGGAAACAGAATAAAAACAAAGATTATTAGTCATGCCAGCTTTTGAGTCCTAAAAGCAGCCAGTCAAAAAGATTTTAAAATGTTGTGCTCCAAGTCTCTTCAGGCGGTAGAAGGAGGACAGCAGTGGTCATCTGACAAATATCCTGGCTTGTAACTGGGATGTCTTTGGTGATGGCATTGGGTGTTTGGGTGAACTGCCTGAGTGGCCCAAACAGCAGCAGGCATGGAGGTTGTCAGTACATGATCTGCTGTGATTTTTTTGGTAGTTTATGATAACTCATCTAGCCTCAGCTTGTAATGCTTCAGGAAAAGGGAAGTTTTAATTATCAGCGATGCCAAGTCAGGAGAGTGGGAAAAAAATGGAAACATTAGTTTGGAGAATTGTAACCAGATATGGAAGAAACTAGAATAATTCAGGATATAGTCCAGTTTATACATGGATAACAAGGGAGAAAATGAAGTTTACAAAGAGGCAAAAAATCACTCAAATGAACAGGATTATAATCTAATGCCCACAAGGGTGCATGATAATTTTCCACGGAAACAAAATTTCTACAATCACCCTCCTTTGGACCTCGTTTACAAAATGAATCTAATCTCATTAGATTAAGCCTGATTATTTACATAAGTGCAGCAAGAGTCATTGACCAAGTAGACCTTTAATAAGGAATTTTAGATTAGATTTTTTCAAAGCCCCTTGAGCCCAGGAAGCCAAGCCAAGAACTCACCACCAGATTTCTCTTGTGGTAACCACAGATTTCAGAGAATTCCTCTTTTCTTGAGATTCCCACAATATCCTGAGGTTCCTGAGCCTGCCAAAAAGTGATCTCCTTACGTAGATGTAAAACTGGGAACGCTATGAGCCAGGTACCAGGCCAGGTTTCCCAAGAGGGCTTTGTAAGCATCGACCCCATAAAATCTATTGTTGTTTCTTAAAGCCAGCTTCTATGCACATCATTTTCTGATATGACATTCCAGTCAAAGCCTTAGTAAAACAACTAATTTTTCCAATTCTATTCTGTTACAAGGAGAACAGATTCTTATCGAACTTATGCAAATAATTATATTGCCAGGATGATAAGAATACTTAATAATAGTTTACAAATTTTGAAAAGACCAGGTAGGGAAAAACAATAAATATTTCATCTCTGTTCACAAAGATATACTTTACCAAATTGCTGTAAGTTACGGATAGCTTAAGAGAAAAGAGGAACAGGATTCCTTAAATCTGGAAAATAAAACATTAAATTACCAGCAATATTCCAAACAAAACCACAGTCACTCTTTGTCAGTTCATTCAGTTCCATGTAATTAATTTTATCTGCTTGATTTGTGGTTCACAGTTTCATAAACATTTCTGTTTCTAAATATCTGATGAGCTTTCACATGACAAGAAAATTTGGTTATTTCTGTGACACACAACAAAAATAAAAACCACACAACAAGATACTGGCAAATTTCTATGACCTTCATACAATCTTATTACAATGAATATAATGCCTACATATGTAATATTCACCCATACAAATATAATCTAGGAAAAGAAAAAGCATCTCTTCTTTTATTTATTTGCAGAAAAGCAACATCTCTTATTTCACATGCCTTTCCACAAAATTTTTAAAACAACTTCATTGAGGTATAATTGACGTACAATTAAAACTGCACATTTTTTCAACTTTTATTTTAGAGTCAGTGGGTATATGTGCGGCTTTGTTACCTGGGTACATTATGTGATGCTGAGGTTTGGAGTACGAATGAATGATCCTGTCACCCAGGTACTGAGCGTCATACCCAATAGTTAGTTTTTCAACCCTTGCCCCTCCCATTTCCTGCTACAATAGTCCCCAGTGTCTATTATTGACATCTGTATGTCCATGAGTACTCAATGTTTAGCTCCCAGTTTTAAGTGAAAATATGCGGTATTTGTTTTTCTGTTCTTGTGTTAATTTACTTAGGATAATAGCTTCCAGCTGCATCCATGTTCCTAGAAAGGACATTATTCTATTTTTCTTTATGCCTACATAGTATTCCATGGTGTATGTGTACCATATTTTCTTTACCAATACAACACTGATGGGCACCTGAGGTGATACCTTGTCTTTGCTATTGTGAATAGTGCTGAGATGAACATGTAGGTAAAACACTTTGTTTTCTTTAGAATATTGTAATAGGCCATTCTTGCATTGCAGTAAAGAAATATCTGAGACTGAGTAATTTATTGGAAAAGTAGTTTAACTGGTTGAGAGTTTTGCAGGCTCTACAGGAAGCATGGCACCAGCATCTGCTTCTGGGAAGTCCTCAGGAAGCCTTTACTGATGGCAGAAGGTGAAGCAGGAGCAGATACTTCACGTGGTAAAAGTAGGAGCAAGAGAGAAAGGGGCTGGGGGAGGCGTCACACACTTTTAAATGGTGTGAACTCAGAGGCAGAGGTCACTTATCAACAAGAGGATGGTCCAAGCCATTCATGAAGGACCTGCCCCTGTGATGAAAACACCTCTCACCAGGCCTCACCTCCAACATTGTGGATGATATTTCAACATGAGATTTGGGTGGGGACACATAACTAAATGCTCTCGGATATTACTCAGTAATGGGAGTGCTGCGTTGAATGGTAGTTTTAAGTTCTTTGAGAAATCTTCCAACTGCTTTCCATAGTGGCTGAACTAATTTACATTCCCACCAATAGTGCATAAGCATTCCCTTTTTTCTGCAACCTTGCCAGCAACTGTTGTTTTATGACTTTTTAATAGTAGCCACTCAGACTGGTGTGAGGTGTTGTCCCCTTGTGGATATGGTTTGCATTTCTCTGATGATTAATGAGGTATAGCATTTTTTAAAATATGTTTGATGGCTGCTTGTATGATTTCTTTGGAGACGTTCATGTCTTTCACCCATTTTTTAATGGGGTTGTTTTTCGCTTGTTTTCTCTACATCCCTGCAACACTTGTCATCATTTGTTTTGTTTTGCTTTGCTTTTATAGTTACCGTCCTAACATGTGTGAGGTAATATTGCATTGTAATTTTCATTTGCATTTCCCGTATGATTATTGATACTGAGCATTTTTTCACATTCTTTGTTGGCCATTTATGTCTTCTTTAGAGAAATGTCTATTTAATTCCTTTGTCCAGTTATTTGTCAACATAGTTTGGATATTTGTCTCCACCCAAATCTCATGTTGAATTATAATCCCCAATGCTGGAGGTCGGGCAGGGTGGGAGGTGTTTGGGTCATGGGAGCAGATAGCTTAATGCTACCTTCGCGATAGTGAGTTCTTGTGAGATCTGGCCATTTACAAGTGTGTGGCACCTACCCCCTGACTCCCTATGTTGCTCCTGCTCCCACCATGTGTGATGCCTGTTCCCCCTTCACCTTCTGCCATGATCGGAAGTTTCCTGAGGTCTCCCCAGAAACAGAAGCTGCTATGCTTCCTGTACATCCTACAGAACCATAAGCCAATTAAACCTCTTTTCTTTATAAATTATCCAGTCTCAGGTATTTCCTTATAGCAATGCAAGAACAGTCTAATACATTTGTCTTTTTGCTATTAAGTTGCAGGAGTTTCTTACACATTTTGGACATTAACCCCTCAGATAAATAGTTTGCAAATAACTTTCTCCCATTCTGCTTACATATTTAACATGTCAAATTAACGTAATTCATTTAACATGTCTCTTTTTACAAGATGAAAGAACAAATCCTTTAAAATTTTCAGGGGCCCTCTAGGAAATGTCAAAGGCATCTCAAGAACAAGAACATTTCATTGAGAATTTAGTGTTTGGAGATTGTCAAAAACTTCTGACAGTTTGAACACTTGATTAAACAGGATTACAGATCACTGTAAAACAATACTTACCTTATTTTCAGTAATCAAGGACATAATAAATGTCAACATAAAGCACAAAAAAAAAATGCCCTGATAAGACACAAGATCTTAGTTTCACAGGCAGATTACTCAAAGGGGGGGAAAACCTGTTCGAATTTCTTGTTAACAACCATGAATCAGAAGACTTTTAGGATTTTCTTTTCCCCTGATGTGTATCTTATGGAGGCTGTAGACCACCTTCTACACTGAGAAGATATCTAGCAGTTTTCTGAGTGTCTCCAAAGCCCACCTGAGTAATTAAAATATTTCATCTATTTCCAATTAGCCTTGTTGTTTCAGCCTCAGGACATTGGATTTAGGGGATCCTGAGTCCCTTGGAAGCCCCTGATAATGACAAGAGACCTTAAGTGTAAGTGATGCATGCCCCAGAGTGAGAAGGAAAAGGTCTGGCAGGGGTAGACAGAGAGATGGAGGAGGTAGGGAGCTGAAGGGAGACACATCAAAGAGTGCAAGTGAACTGGAGGGAAGATAGTAGGAGCCGGTGGGAAAACCAAAAGAAGGAGGAGCGAAGGTAATGAAAAGAGAGAGGTCTTAGAGGAGCTCGTCTGCAGAGACCTTATGTTTCCTAAAGAGGGAAGTTCCAAATCATCTTCAACAAAATCATGCCAACAACAAGCAGGTAACAGATCTGGTATAGCATCGTAACAGCAGGAGGTCAAGAAGAGGGGTTTTGGTCAGCTGAGAAGTTCTCATAGAAGAACCAGGGTTAAATAGAGAGAGCAAGAAGGCCTCACAAAGAGCCAGGAAAAAATTTCCAGCCCAGTAGTCAGGGAGTAATCGCCACTCAAAACAGAGAACCAGAAAGAAAAACTTCCAGCCCAGAGAGTCAAGGAATAATTCCCACTCAAGGCCGGGCGCGGTGACTCAAGCCTGTAATCCCAGCACTTTGGGAGGCCGAGACGGGCGGATCACGAGGTCAGGAGATCGAGACCATCCTGACTAACGCGGTGAAACCCCGTCTCTACCAAAAAAACACAAAAAACTAGCCGGTCGAGGTGGCGGGCACCTGTAGTCCCAGCTACTCGGGAGGCCGAGGCAGGAATATGGCGTAAACCCAGGAGGCGGAGCTTGCAGTGAGCTGAGATCCGGCCCCTGCACTGCAGCCTGGGCGACACAGAGAGACTCCGTCTCAAAAAAAAAAAAAAAAAAAAAAAAAAAAAAACTCAAAACAGAGAAAGAAAGAAGACGTTTCAATTCAAGAGATAACTTTCAAAAGAAGCCAGCCCAGGCATGGTGGCTCACGCCTGTAATATCAGCACTTTGGGATTTGGGCAGGCAGATCACCTGAGGTCAGGAATTCAACACCAGTCTGTCCAACATGGTGTCTCTACTAAAAATACAAAATTAGCTGGGTATGGTGACGCATGCCTGTAATCACAGCTACTTGGGAATCTTAGGCAGGAGAATTGCTTGAACCTGTGAGGCGGAGGTTGCAGTGAGCCGAGATGGTACCATTGCACTCCTGTCTGGGCAACAAGAGCAAAACTCCATTTCAAAAAAAAGAAAAAAAAATAAGAAGCCTGGGACTCTAACCCAGCTTTAGAGAGTATATCAGAATCTCAAGAATCAAAATCTGTCTTTACCAGCTTCAGCATATATTTGTCCAGAGCAATGGTTCCAGAGTCTGTCTCACCAATGGATCCCCAACAATCAGTCGGGAGTGAAGACAAAGTCTTCAAAGTCTTCTCACTTAGGTGAGAGATTCAAGAGCCTAATAATGAATCTAATCCTATCTGAGTCACAGAATCATAACTGTTATCGAACAAGATTATTCATTTATTTGTTAAAGAAAGGAAGACTTTATCCATTGGGTACTATATATATAGGTATAGAGACCACTGCAATGAGGCATTGCAGTTGGAGAGAGAAATTGAGCTCAACTCCAAATACAACAAGAAGAGTGGAAATTCATAGACAAGAAGAAGGGTGAGGGTCATTGGATAAAAAATCACTAAGAAAAAACATCAAGAATTAGGGGAGATTTAGGCTAAGCCAACTGACTAGGTTTCTTGCTAAAGGCATGCTACAGCGATCAGACATCACCAGGGGATTGTGGGAAATAAGGAACCCAACTAAGTATCCTGAGTGGAGGACTCTGGTTAAACTGACTTGCAAAGCTTCTTGCTAAAATTGAGCAATGCAGAGACAAACACAGAAGCCCAAAAGTCAGGGTGTAGTTGAGAAGAAAATTTAGAGTCTGACTAGCATTTCCTCAAGGAGAGAATCTATTACCTCTCATTCTTGTCTTTGAACCATTTTCCACATTGTCTTTTTTCTCAGTCTCCCCCGAACCTCCTTAAGGAACCTCAAGAAACCAAACTCTTAGTGCTCAAGGATTCTCAGTCCCATCACTTTTCA